AGTAGGCGGTAGGTGAAGTGTCTTGCTCAAGGACACAACGAGCTCGAACCGACAACCTTCCGATTACAAGACAAACTACCAACTCAGCCACGATCGCCCAGATTCTATACGAGCTTTGGGTTATTAATCTTATATGTAATTCACTCCTGCTCATCAGTGATTGAGGGTGAATACAAAAGGCTTTTTCTTCCTGTTCACAGTCATTCGCTGGTAACTCCACTCCACAGTGGCCTTTATGATGGCATTGTCCATCTTTGATATACAGTCTGCAGTTGGAGTTGATTGCTGGATGACAGAGGGTTCATTTTATTTCTATTTATTTGTCCCAAAGAGCTTTGCTGACGGTAGAGAAGAGGCGCTGTACGAGCCACAGGCGTGTTTGAATCAGTAGACTGGGAGTTGTGGTGTGCTGATGGTTTGGTCACAGCAGTCTTTCCCGTGACTCGTCAGCTGTGTGTCTGCAGGCCTTTCAGCGAGTCCAGCTTACAGCTTTTACTCATCACATCCAGTGTTGTGTGCGAACAAAGAGACCAGGGTGTGGTTGTTTTCCTATAAAGCAGCGTGTCTGAGGCAAGGCGGCCACGCCCACTCTGAGTCACACGAGTTTCTCTGCTTCCTCCTCCACGCCGTCCTTCTCACTTCTGCATTTCTCCCTTCACCATCTTCCTTCTCTGCTTTTGTCTCCTCATCCATCATGTTGTCACTTCCTCCCGCCGCTGCTTTCACACTTCAACCTGCCTCCGTGTGTTTTTGTTTTCCTTCCCACTCGCCTCCGAGCGCAGCCATTTTGTCCCTGCAGCCTGTGTTTGCAGTGATGCGTGAGAGCTGCTGGCCCACTTCCACGCTGACCTCCCTCCACTTTCTGACCGTTTTATTTTCCATGCTGCTCGCCTCAGCGGCTCAGGCCGCCTTTATAAATGTTCACATAGCTGCTCGTCCACCTTAAAGCTCAAACACACTTCCAGATGTGGGCAGAGGCCTCCTGGTGGGCAAAGCAGGTAGTGCAGGTGGGCTGGCAGAACTTTAACCACTGAAAGTCTCATGAAATAACGCCGTGTGTCTGCTGCAGGTATCCGTTACAGCACAGAGGTGTCTGTGGACGAGGTGAAAGCTCTGGCCTCGCTGATGACCTACAAATGTGCCGTCGTAGGTGAGAGCACGCTGAACCCCGTCTGCTGTGTTTGAGTGACTCTGCCGCTTGTTGTCTTGTGAACTAAAGTGACTTTGTTTCCAGATGTGCCTTTTGGTGGAGCCAAAGCCGGCGTGAAGATCAACCCGAAGAACTACTCGGTAAGTGTGACGCTTCCACGCCAGCCGGCCCTCCTCGGTGACCCTTGTGGTTTTATTTCTTGATCAGCGCTCGGCCTCAAACTAAACTAAATATTGGGGCGATTGTGTTGCCATGGAAACCTAACGTCTTGTGGTAAGTGAACGAAGCGCGAGTGTGCGAGTTTCCCACGATGCTGCAGTCGGCGCCGCTCATCAGCTTGTTTGTAATGGCTCCACGACTGTAGACGGAGCAGCCGTCTGCTGTTTTACAGTAAACTTTCCGACCTGAGCGGAAACGCTGAGCCATCAGCTGGCAGAGA